TTTGCAATAACTGGATATGGTACAATGTATCGCGGCTTAAGCTTCCCTGATTGTCCAAATCTTGCGTGTCCTCGCATCGCTTGTACACGGAGAAATGTTTGGTCTCCCACTTCTAATGTAAAATCTCGTCTCCTCTTATCTGGGTAAGATTTCTATCGATCTTGAGCTACCTTCAGATTAGCCTTGATATTTCGTATTACCTCTGTAGTTTCTTCCACTATTTCAGGCCCAAATGCTCGTTTTTCCCCAATCTCTGTCCAACATATCGGGGTTTTGCAAGGTCTCCCATATAATGCCTCATAAGGTGGCATTCCGATGCTGGCATGATAACTGTTGTTGTACGCAAACTCGCACAACTTCAAATGTTTATCCCATGGAACTCTCCATTCTAATATGCACGCTCTCAACATGTCTTCGAGCGTCTGGGTGGTTCGTTCCGGTTGTCCATCTGTCTGTGGATGATACGCAGTGCTCATCTTTAACTTTGTACCCAATGCTCCCTGTATCGCACCCCACAATCGAGATTTGAATCTAGGGTCACGATCCGAGATAATTTCACTCGGAACTCATGTAGTCGGACAATCTCATCAATATAAATTTGTGCCAGTCGGTCCACGGTATATTCGTGCCGAATCGGAATAAAATGTGCTGACTTGGTTAATCGATCAACGATTACCCAAATAGCGTTCTTCTTTGTCTGGGTCAATGGCAATCCAACGAAAAAATCCATAGCAATAGAGTCTCACTTCCACTCTGGGATCTCTAACGGTTGTAGCTTTCCACCTGGCATCTGTTGTTCAGCCTTCACTTGCTGACACGTAAGACATCGAGCAATGAAATCCGCAACATCTTTCTTAATACCAGGCCATGTGTACCACTGTCGCAATCCCTGATACATTTTGATGGCTCCAGGATGAATAGCTAGTCTCGATTGATGAGCCTCACGCAAAATATCCTGTCTCAAATCACGATCGTCTGGTACACAAAGACGGTGCTAAAGTCTCAAAGCACGCTCGTCATCTAATGTGTAACCCTTCTCACTGTATTTGTCCATATCCTCAATGAATCGTACTAGGTCTGGATCACTACGTTGTCCCGAGATCACTCGTCCTCTTAAACTCGGAGTCTGATTCTCCCCAGAAATCAACATGTGTCCCAACATAGCTGAAAGTTCTGCTATGTTCTCTCGTGACGATGATAGAACTCGTATAGTCGATAGGATTCTCTTTCGGCTCACGGCATCGGCAACTACGTTTGCCTTGCCCGGATGATATATAATCTCTAAATCATAATCGGCTATTAACTCGAGCCATCGTCGCTGTCGAAGATTTAAATCCTTCTGAGAAATCACGTAGGTCAAACTCTTATGGTCCGTGTTGAGTTTAACATTTTCACCGTATAAATAGGATCTCGAAATCTTTAACGCATGAACTACCGCTGCTAACTCAAGATCATGCGTCGGATAATTTTGCTCGTGCTTTCGTAACTGTCTGGATGCGTAAGCGATCACATGTCCCTCCTACATCAATACGCAGCCTAGACCTTGTTTCGACACATCTGTGTACACATCATACTGTATACCTGACCGTGGTAAAGCTAATATCGGTTCGCTTCTTGAGCTCCATAAAGCTCGTCCCACACTCCAACGTCCACTCAAACCGCACATTCTTTCTCGTCAATTTTGTCATTGGTTTTGCAAATTTGGCAAAACCTTCCACGAATCGACGATAATAGCCTACCAATCCTAGCAAACTCCGAATCTCTGTGGCGTTAGCAGGCGTCTTCCATTCCATAACAGCTTCGATCTTTGGTGGGTCCACCTGAATTCCACGAGCTGAGACTACATGTCCAAGAAAGCCAATCTCTTACAATCAAAATGCACATTTGCTGAACTTGACATATAGGTGGTTATCCCTCAAACGCAACAATACTTTCCGCAAATGTTCCTCATGAATTTGTTGGTCTGGAGAATATATCAGAATGTCATCAATGAATATAATGACGAACTCATCCAGATAATCCATGAATATTCGGTTCATCAACTGCATGAAGACCGCTGGAACATTCATTAGTCCGAACGACATGACGATGAACTCGAAGTGGCCATATCGTGTACGGAAGGCTGTCTTCGGTATATCCTCAACCTTCACACGAATCTGATGGTAACCCGATCGTAAGTCGATCTTGGAGAACCACTTTGCTCCCTGTAACTGATCAAGTAGTTCATCAATCCTTGTGCGGATACTGATTCTTGATTGTTACTTGGTTAAGTCCTCTATAATCAATGCATAGTCGCATAGTGTCATCCTTCTTCTTCACAAATAGTACAGGTGCACCCCAAGGAGATACACTCGGTCGAATGAATCCCTGCTCCACTAATTCATTCAATTGTTTCTTCAACTCTGCCATCTCAGTAGGAGCCACCGATATGGTGTCTTGGATATCGGCTCCGTACCCGGTATCACATCAATAGAGAAATCGACTTCTCTCTGTGGGGGTAGTCCAGGCAAATCGTCTGGAAATACATCCCCGAATTCTTGAACCACTGGAGTGTCCTCAAGCTTCACATCAACTTCTTTTGCCGCATTAATCACGATGAGAAAGGCATCACACCCTTTCTGAACCATGCTTATAGCTCGGAGGGCTGATATAATCGGAAATGACGTCTGTACCTTGTCTTCAACGAACTCAAAATTTCCAGTCGAATCCGCAAATTGAATAGTTCATCGACGACAATCAATGCGTGCTCGATGTAGAGTCAACCAATCCATCCCCAATATCAAATCGTACCCTTGACTAGGTACGATAATTGTAATAACTCGATTCCAATTTGGGATATTTAATTAAATTCGGAGAAGAACAATTAAATGAACAGGTACTAAACCTTAAGAAAGGGACCACAAAGTGTTGGGAAAAGACCCGGAAACCACCCCGAACGAACGAGACGAGAAAACGAAAAAATAAGGAAAAAAATAATAAGTCTAGACCGATCGGCAAAAAAAAAAAAAAGGTCTGGACCGACTAGTCCAGGCGAGGAAAAATATATGCGAGCTTGCAATCTTAGCCGCACAATGGGAGTTCATTCAGGGACCTACAAGCGACCAAAACCCGAACTAACCTCCATTATCGAGCAATGATGATCCCTAAATGGCCTTACCCAACTTTAGACCTCCCTCTGGCTCTAAAAATCCGCCCCAAAGTCTGCCTAGCACCATTCTTGCTGAAGAAAAACTGCAAAAGAAAAACCAGAGGAAGAAGAAGAAAAAGGAAGGAAAAGAGGGAGAGGGAAAGAAAAAGAGAGAGAGAGAAGGGGAAAGAGACTCGGTGGAACAACAAGGGACAGCCCTAGAACGTCTGAGAGGATCACCGTCGTCGGTGGACAAGAAACGAGTGAGTTATGAGCCAACGAAGTCGAACCAGAATCTGGGACGAAATCGCGAAATCCAGTCTATCTCTGGGCTGTGGACCGACCGGTCCAGGCTCTGGACCGACCAGTCCAGACCCTGAAAATGCTGTCCGAAATGGCCCGGACCTACCGGTCTAGACCCCGCGAAAGCCTGGACCGACCGGTCCAGACCCAGAAAACACCGAAAATGCCCGAAATGACCAGGAACGATCGGTCTAGACACCGGGAACGCCCGGACCGATCGGTCCAGACTAGAAAGTGATCAAATTGAGCCAAAAAGACCTCGGGATGAAATATAAACATAGGAATTGACCAAACTATGTGAAGAACGAGCTGGAACATGACAAAAATGAAAAAAAGGGAGAATTAGAATAAATTAATAAATTGAATGCGTGGCGAGATGTGCGACACATGCCGAGAGAATCGTTGTATGTTGTTTGAGTTTTATTCTTCGATGGGTCACGAGAAGAGACGTGCACGTGAAGTGCATTGATTGTTGCGCGAAGCAACGGCCAACGTCATGAGATGTGACGGGCGTGAGAGGCGCTCCTAGTCATGCGATGTGACTAGGGTTTACGGCTAACCCTATGGTGCGATGCCATACGGGACTTGATTGTTGCGCGAAGCAACGACCAACGTTATGAGATGTGACGGGCGTGAGGGGCGCTCCTAGTCATGCGATGTGACTAGGGTTTACGGCTAATTTTATGATGCGAAACCATACGTACTTGATTGTCGTGAGAAGTGACGGCCAACGTCACGAGATGTGACGGGCGTGAGAGGCGCTCCTGGTCATGAGAAGTGACCCGGCTTTACGGCTGACCCGATTGTGTGAAACCATACGGGAATTGATACGATGATGTTTTAATATGATATGTATGCGTGTTGAATATTGAATATTATACCTTGTGTTTTATCGTTTTAATACCGTTCTCGCTGGGAACGGGTTTATCGGATCCAACTCGGATCATTCACTAAGCAGTTGTGCTTAGCCCTCATGGTTTTACCTTTTTCAGATCACGATGAGCACGAGTAGCATGTTTGGGGTGACGAAGACTTCGAAAAGACAGCATCGTGTTCGGGGTTTTCCTTATTTGTATGATTTGAACTATGGATACGATTTCCATGTTTGTATGATTGTATCTTTTCAATTCGGACATGTGTGTTTAAGACTTAAATGCTGTTTAATTCCGCTGCGTGTTTGATATTAAAAAGTTTTAAAAATTCCCGTATTTTTTGTTTGCATTATTTTATTTGTTTTTCGTCCATGTGGCACATCCTGCGAGGGAAATCGGGATACGGGTGTCACAACTGTTGGTATCAGAGCAACGTTCCTTCCACGGGAAAGAACGCCTCACTACCTTAAGTTTTTTGCAATGGAAAATGTTTTCGAAAACCATGCCCCAAGGAATTTCACAACTGTTGGTATCAGAGCAACGTTCCTTCCACGGGAAAGAACGCCTCACTACCTTAAGTTTTTTGCAATGGAAAATGTTTTCGAAAACCATGCCCCAAGGAATTTTTACAAAGAACCGTACATACGATGTGTTGTCTGAGGTCACCGCTAATGCTACCTTAACCGTGGTGCAGTGAAATGGCGCCACGACGTGCTCAGTCTACGATGGGAGACAACAATGTCCCCAACTATGTTCCCCAAGCTGCGGAATTTAGGGAATTTCAGGAGGAGATACGAAATGAATTTCGTGCATTCCAGGAGACCATGATACAAACCTTGATGGCACATCTCCCACCTCCACCCCCAGCGCGAGGTCCGGAACCTAGGGAAGAGGACCTGCCTCCGCCACCACCTGCACCGGCAGCGGTAAGAGACTACCTACCTATTGTTCGGGAATTACGGGCCATGCACACTCCAAGGTTTGGAGGATCACTGGATCCCGAGGCTGCAGAAGAATGGATGACATGCATCACACGAGACCTGGAATATGTTCACTGTCCCCTACGTTATCGAGCGCTACTAGCGAGCCATCACTTGTCCGGGCAAGCTCGACATTGGTGGGAAAAGGTGGTACAGGAGATGCCGGACGGGTATCGTTTCACCTGGGAGGAATTCAAGGAGGAATTTGAGAGGAAGTACTACCGCCGACAGAATCAAGAATGTCGCCTCTCTGATTTCCTGAACCTGCAACAAGGGAACATGACTGTGAGGGAGTACGAAGTTGAATTCGTACGCATGCTTAAGCATTCGGCGCATCTGGTGCCCCTAGAGAGCCAGAAGATCACTAAGTTCATTGTGGGACTACGACCTTCACTCCGCTGGAGAGTCACACTCTACGAGTTCCGAACTCTGAGCCATTGCATTGACCAGCTGGAGAAAGCGGAGGAAGCGGAAAAGGAGGAGAGAGCCAGCAGGGCCCGTGACCGAAGTCCTCCTAGACGCCATCCCTATACGCGTCTGTCGGGGAAGACTGGTCAGACTGGCCAGAGCAGCCGAGTGCAAGACAAGGGTAAGGTGCCAGTCACCCAGGCATTTTCTCTGCCACCTCGGAGAGGGCCACCGGTCTGTTATCAGTGCCAGCAGCCGGGATACTTTGCGGCATATTTTTATTTTACGGTGAGACCCGCAGAGCCGCCAGCGTGAGCGGCTATGCCACGAGACCTGCGGTTGGAGCTGGAGTGGCCCCGAGGGTCTATGCCCTAGAAGCGGAGCAGGAGATTCAAGAAGAGAAGGTTCATGACGACGGAGTTGAGGCAGATGCGATTGCAGGTACTCTTCTACCTCTTGAGCATAGTATTATTATTGTATTGAGGCAACCACTGTCTGTTAAAGTACGAAGTAACAAGAAACATCGCAGGTACCCTTCACTTATACGGGGTGTCCTGTTATACATTGTTTGACACTGGGGCGACTCACAGTTTTGTGAGCGCGGCTATAGTGGAGAGAATCGATGTGGAAAAGGTCAAGCCAATGAGTAACTTCACCGTGCGTACACCGGCTGGAGAAACCCTTACGGTTCGAGGGACCTTGCTTAGCGTACCCCTTGACATATGCGGCCGACAAATGCCAGTAGACCTTATTGTGGTTCCCATAGGAGTCTATGATCTCATACTGGGCATGGACTGGTTAACCAAATATCAGGCTTATATCGACTGCCCCCAGAGGACGATCAGGTTTCAAGAAGATTTCGGAGGTTTTGAATTTAGGGAAGGGGAGCACCATCGACGGACCCGATTATCTCGGCGTTGAAAGCCGAAAAGATGATCAAGAAGGGAAACGATGCGTTCTTAGTGGTTATCACGGCTACTAAAGAACCAGAGAAGAGATTGGAGGACACACATGTTGCTCGGAAATTTTCAGATGTATTTCCGGATGAATTACCGGGAATACCGCCAAAGAGGGAGGTGGATTTCAGCATTGATGTAATACCGGGCACAGAGCCAATCACTAAGACTCCGTACCGGATGGCGCCGACAGAAATGGCGGAGCTGAAAAAGCAAATGAACGAGTTGGTGGAGAACGAGTTTATACGCCCGAGCGTTTCACCGTGGGGAGCACCGGTACTCTTTGTGAAAAAGAAAGACGGGAGTATGCGTCTGTGTATTGATTACCGCGGGCTCAACCAAGTGACAATCAAGAATCGGTACCCGCTGCCGAGGATTGATGAGCTACTTGATCAATTGCAGGGGGCCAAGTTGGTTCTCGAAGATTGACTTACGATCGGGATATCATCAGATCCGGGTCAAAGAGGAGGACATACAGAAAACGGCGTTTCGGACCCGATAGATCTGTCGGGGTTTTACGGATGATTTTGGTTGCGTGTGACGTTTGACTAGGTTTAGATTATCCTTCCGCTGCATGAAACCTAGTAAACCAAACCCTAGATCGATATGATCGCATGCTAGGAATCCGTAGCCTAAAACCCAACACATATCGGGTCCGAAACGCCGTTTTCTGTATGTCCTCCTCTTTGACCCGGATCTGATGATATCCCGATCGTAAGTCAATCTTCGAGAACCAACTTGGCCCCCTGCAATTGATCAAGTAGCTCATCAATCCTCGGCAGCGGGTACCGATTCTTGATTGTCACTTGGTTGAGCCCGCGGTAATCAATACACAGACGCATCCTCCCGTCTTTCTTTTTCACAAAGAGTACCGGCGCTCCCCACGGTGAAACGCTTGGGCGTATAAACCCGTTCTCCACTAACTCGTTCAGTTGCTTTTTCAGCTCCGCCATTTCTGTCGGCGCCATCCGGTACGGAGTCTTACTGATTGGCTCTGTGCCCGGGAGTACATCAA